ATTTCTTTGCCCAATAATAGCAAAGTAAAAATGAGCTTGCGTTAGGCAAAAACAATTTTGGTGTGATCTGGATTAAAAAGTATTGGGCAAAATGTGGTTAATTGGTTACGAAAAATCAGAGTTTGGTTGTCTCTGGCAAGTCCATCGAGTTTATGCTCAAGTGGATGGACGAAGTTTACATATCATTTCCTCCATAAAAACACACTCCTCAAAGATAGACAACCTCGATTGGATTCAAAACTGAACAGAGGGCATCGAGCAAAAAAATGGCATAACGTAATATTAATAGATGCCAGTAAGCCCGACCATTACCAATTAACGTTTCATCATAGAATTGTTTTTTGTCTAGACAAACAGGGATTGTATCTTTTAAATAAGATGGCACTACCATATTTAAAAACTATGTTGAATAATTAGATAAAGTATGACTCAACTTTTCATTTAGAAGGAAAATCCGGCTAGAAGGAACTTGTGAAAACCGAAGGTTGATTGTGTTGAGGTAGTGACTGTCGGGTTGTGTCAAGAAGTCTTCAGCTTATCATTCTGTGACCACATTGCAACTAAGCTAAGCTTTCGGCTCTCATATGACCGACATCTTTAGAGCAATAAACCATATTTTGCGAAATAGCGTACCCTGAACCAAGTATATTATTGGCTATTTCGTAAAGTATAGTTTCTTGCTCCGATAATGTCTATCATAGCAAGACAGACGAAAGCCTTGTGCGGGTTTATCTAGGCTGCAGTACTGTGGGCCGAGGGTCTATTCTCTAGACAGCATTCCTCATTTATTTCCCAGTGGGAATTAATCACGAATTTCTTCCAATCGACTTTTTCTTCAAAATTAAAAGTAGAATCACGAATATATATATATATATATATACATATATTAAAGAATGCAATATTTAAATAATTGCAGTAACTTAAGGTTTATTGAGGATTGCGATTTGATAGGCTAAGTTGTTAAATCCTCCTTTCTCGACTTTTCACTTGAAAAGATACCTATATTCATATAAACGTTGGATTAAAGCATGGATTCGGCTAATTCGGGAAGCGCTTCTAGTTCCTAAACTAGTGACTAGACATATGAATAAATACTTTGATATCTGGCAGCTCGGTAAAGAATTCCTTAGGCCAATGAATAAATTAGATGGGACAACTGAATTCATGATGAAGCTAGAAAAGGACAGTGAGCTACCCCTTTTATTTGTCCCGGTTAGTAGACAAGGAAACCTAATTGGTAGGGATATATATCTGAAATCCATGAGACGATTTTCAGTTTTATTTCTTCTTTGCCTTTACTTATCGCATTAAAGTAGAGTTTATGAAATCAGGGATAGTTAGATGCAGCTTGTCAGG